CATTCCATCAGCTTTCTTCAATCTGCACATAGTTCTCTCTTATTTCTAACTGTGCCCACAGTTTTTTATTATTTGTTTTCTTTTTTCAATATGCAGAGCCCTGCAGTGTGACAGTGGATTACCCTTCTTTAGGGCTTTCGCTTGCCCTGCAGCATTAGCTAGTCGACCATATCTACTTTAAAGATTCCTGCCTAGATCTGGCCGCTCCCTGCAGTGGGGGGCCAGAAGGAGGGGGCAGAAGTAGTCATCAGTGACCTTGGAAAACTCCATTTCAGTAGAGGGACACAAGGAAGTAAAAGGGAAGCAGGCTAAGAAGACAAGCACCTGCAAACAGCTTTTAAGAAGCTAGCTATGAAGGAAAGAAGAGAAATAGGGCTACAGCTAGAATAAAAGGAAAAGCTGAGAAAGATTACGTTGGCTAGTTTTTAAAATATCTGAACTGTGAGCCTGTGAAAAAGTGGACAGGGTCTCAGGTCCAGAAATCTTTGGGAGCTTCAGAACTACAGCTAGAATTTTCCATATCTCTATTTAACTCACAAACATTTTAATGTCCAAAAGTTCAAAACTGAATTCATTACCTTCCCTCCAAAACGTGCTGTTCCTACTGTATTTCTTTCTTTTTTTTTTTTTTTTAAGAATTTTATTTACTTGTATTTATTTATTTATTTTTTAAATTTGACCAGAGAGAGACAGAGAGAGAGAAGAAAGGTAAGAAAGCAAGCGCCAGGTCTGGGACTCGAACTGCAATCAGCCACATGGGAGTCTGGTGCCCCTAACCATACCACGTGCCAGCCCCGCTCCTGTACTTCTCATCTGGGTAACAGGATCTGTGAATAGAAGACCCATGCAAAGATCCTGAGTCTTCCTAGATGTTTCTCTAACCAGTCCCACACAAGCTTTACCCAGAACAACTTACTGTTTCTCTGTTACTCTGTATTTCACCTATCTTGGTGCTTTGTTCATGCTTCTCTCTCTACCTAGAATTTCCCCCAAACTAGAGAAGTAAACATCTATGTATTTTTCCAAGACTCTATTAAGAAAATAAATAAAAAGAAAAACAAGAGACCCACTTTCCTAAATATGTCTCTTCAACCTAGCAAATTCAGCCATTTCTTTTAAAATTCACTCCAGCATTTCCTATTGGGTTGTTAGTAAAGTCATGACACATTTTTACGTAGAAAAGAATATGTCACAATTTTTATAACAACCCAATAGATGGTCCTTCAATGATTTATTTTTCCAAATAAGTACAAAAACAACTTCTATGTATTATTATCATCTATAAAAGTAACACTTTATATAAAAATAATTTATAAGAAAATACTATATTCAAAGACAGCTGTTCTTTAGAAGGTTAGCAACCTTACATCCGCTGTACATAGACATACTACATCAGTCCTTGCTTCACTGAAGAGCAATGAAAATGCTATAGCATCCTAACACATCTCTCATTAACACCTTTAATACTTCATTCTTCCCCTTTATATGCATAGCTGCCTATGTTCACTAGTTGATAAATTCCTTATAAGTAAAATTTATAATTTTTTTTAAAAAATTTTTTCATATAGAGCATGTTTGCTCACCAGAGAGACAGATAAAGCAAAAAAGCATCTCCCCACCACAGGAGGATGGCCATGCTATAATCCCTTCTCCTCCATTCTAATGCCCAAGGTGTTCAAGTCGCTGGGTCAAGTTGCTTGAACCACACAATTGGCCATATGGGCTCCAGTCACCTTCACCAACATGCTGCCAGGTGACCCCATACAAATTTTGTTAAGTTTATTGATTTAGTCCATGAGAGGGGAGAATGGAGAGAGAGAGGATAACGGGATGAGAGAGAGAGATACAGCATCCTCAATAGGGTACTGATGCTGTGATCCACCTCTCAGCAGCGGCGGATCCAGGCCACCAGCAGGGCTGCCTGGGATGCTCAGGGAAGC